GGGGTTAGCACTGATGGTGGAATGTGATGGACATCATTATCCAAAGTACATATATGAAGACATCAATTGGTGTGAACATAATTTACAAACAATCAGATATGAAAAATTGTGCTCTATATGTGTAATAAGAACTGTAATGCATTCAGCTGTCATGTAGTTAAAAAATAAAATCAATTAAAAAAACTTATTTCATACTGCAGGTTTTCCACAAAGAATTATCACAAAGTGCTATTGGTAGCAATTCTAAATGATTATCTTATCTCAATAAAACCATCCTCCATTGAAAAAAAAAGAATGAATAATAAGACAATGGAGTAGTTCCCACTGATATATTTATTTTATAAGAAAGATGTTTAGAAAGGTAAGAAACTTGACTTGAACCCAGGAAATCTACTCTGGCACCAGCACTCTTAACCATATTGTGATTATGGTGTGTGTGTGTGTGTGTGTGTGTGTGTGTGTGTGTGTGTGTGTGTATAAATGGTGATAATTTCACATAAATGGGACCTTATTTTATATATATATATATTTCTCTCTATAATTTACTTTTTGTGACTAATGGTATGTAATGGAGCTTTTATCATATAATTATAAAGAGATTCTATACATATCATAATGTGCCATCATTTTACTTTACTGTAATTTAACCAGTCCCTTTTGATAAATATTTGAGTCATTTACATTTTATTTTATAATTACAAATACTGACATAATTAAATCTATATCTTTGTGCATATACAGAAGTATTTATATCACATAGATTTCTAAAAATATTCTTTTCCTTTGATTTTTCTTTTATTTCTGTGTCAGTATCATATTGCTTTAGTTACCGGTCTCTTACAATGTTTTGATATGTTACTGTTTTTTTAAAAAAACATGTTTTTATATTTCACATTTTCTCCACAGTTGAATTGGCAATAATCTTGTCAGTTTCCAACAAAGAAATTACATTGCTTGCTGGTCTTTTATAATGACATTTAACTATTTTAGATTAATTTAGGGTATAGTAAGATCTTTTTAAAATTCAGTCTTTGTGGATACACTCTGATTACATGTCAGTAGAAGCCATTTTCAGTTTTTTCTCTGAATTTTCTATTTATAACTTTTAGACATATTTATATTGTGTTTTTCCATATTCCATACTGATATCAATCATTATTTTGTTAAGTATATTAAACTTATTAAAATGTTATAAATCTGGGCTGGAGTTATGGCTCAGAGGTAGAGCACTCGCCTACCATGTATGAATCCCTGGGTTCAATCCTCAGCACCACATATAAATAAATAAAATAAAGATATTTTTCAAAAATAAAAATGTTCTAAATCTGTTTTCATGTATAAAGTTGAAAACACACTGCCTGGATTCTAATCTTGGTTCTACCCTTTGATAGTTGTGTGACATTACTCAATGTCTCTTTGCTTCAGTTTTCTCATCAACAAAATTTAGGGAATAAAACTATTTACTTCATAGAGTTGTGAAAATTAAATGCATGAGTACATGTAAATTGCTCAGAATCATGCATAGCATATTATAAGCACTCAATAAATGTGAGTCCAGGGAAGGGGACTGTATATTCTCTGACTGTCTCTTTTCCTTGTTATAAAATTAATTCTAACTACATAAAATACATAAATATATTTTGTATGTTTAAAAACTCCTCCAAAGGATTGCAAATGATGCCAAATTCTTCTGCTAACAATCCAACTCACAAATCAATATTCTCTTAGTGTTTAACCTGCCATCATTGTATGGAGGGTTTCTACTTCTTGGCTTTTTTCAATGAACTTACATATACATATTTAGTCATAAAATATAGGTTATTATATTGAAGGGTTTCTTTTAACACAAAATTTATATTTCATGTTACATTGTACAATTTTCCCCCTTTAAATTTCACCAATATGGTATAGAAATCTTTCCATGGACTCTCTGTCCTCTTGCAGTGATTACCTTTTCCTGCTCTGATGTCCCTTTATTTCCAATAATTTTATTTTTATTATTAGTTCTTCCTACATATACAAACTTCCATGTAAATTTTATAATTACATATGTCAAAATCTACAAAAAGCCTTAATTGTAATTGTTTGAATTATTAGACTAAAATAGCATATTGGGCTTTCCCAAAACGAACATGGTTTATTCCCCATATATCATGCCATTTTGTAAAATTTCAACATTTTCTAATATAACTTTATTTATTTTTATGTGGTGCTGAAGACAGAACCCAGTGCCTCAAATGTACTCAGTGAGTGCTCTACCACTAAGCCATAACCTCAGCTTTATATTTTTTCTTAAGTTTATTCTGATGCACATTATACTTTTCACACTATGGTGAGAGCTTTTTCTATCAAACATACTGCATTTTATAGTGGCACCTTACATTTAACTGGTTTTGGAGTCTTCAAATAATGGATTTTTCTTGCTGAAATTTTTTTTTTAAAGAGAGAGTGAGAGAGGAGAGAGAGTGAGAGAAAGAGAATTTTTTTAATATTTATTTTTTAGTTCTCGGCAGACATAACATCTTTGTTGGTATGTGGTGCTGAGGATCGAACCCAGGCCGCGCTACCGCTTGAGCCACATCCCCAGCCCCTCTTGCTGAAATTTTTACCTCTAAATTTTGTGTGATGCTGAGGATTGAACCCAGGGCCTTGGGCATGTGAGGCAAGCGCTCTACCAACTGAGATATATCCGCAGCCCCTAAATGATTTTTTAAAATTGTGTCTTATTGCATAGATTAAGGAAAATTGTTTAGTGTATCTCTGCTCTGCATGCTTATTTATCTGTGTAATAATAGAAATATTGTTGTGCGGATTTTTTTAACATATAAAAGTCTTTTAATAATTCCATCCTTTTCTTAGTTATAAATTTATCAGGAAGACTTCAAATAAATCAAGTGAATTTATAGATTTCCTGATATGTAACTATTCCAGTTATCCTGGATTAAACCACATTTTTAGTATACTGATAAATTTCAATTATTTCCATTCATTTAGAACTTGTAACTCTGATTATAGGTGATACATGCTTTATACTCCTCTACTTTTAACATATATATACACATATACATACATACATATTATTTTAATATAGAAGTAAATAAACACGATGAAGGGGTAGAAAGAAATGGAATTTCTGTTTGGGGAAGAGGTATAAACTTCTATACACTCATGGGCTTCTTAGATTAATATCTCCTACATATCATATAAAATCAAAATTTATTATCAAAAAACAGAAAGCTGGAATCATTCAAAATAAATAAAATATAAATATTACCCAAAGATTACCTCTGGCAAAAATGCTCAAGGGACAGATTATTTTACAGGTGAATATTCTTAACAGTATAGTATTTTTTAACAGCTAAGGAACAGCTAATTCTAAGATTACAATTATTTCCTCCAAACATAGAAAAGATGGAAATCCTCTCAATTCATTTTATTAAGGAACCATAATATTGATACCAAATCGACAGAAAAAAAACTGATAATATAGGAGTGATGACAGCAAAATGACAGACTAGGAAGGTAAGAGCCTCAATTCTCTACAGAAATATTAAAAATCAACAACTGGAGACTTGATAAAATAGCTTTATAGAATATCTGGAAAACAGTTAAAGATCTACATAACCAATGTAATGCCCCCCCCAAATCAATTTAAAACTACATTCAAAGCAGTAGAAAATTTATGGCATTTTACTCACCATTGCCCCATCCCCTCCTTGATATGACATGGTACACTCTGGAGGAAACATTGGCCCATCTCCTAATTCCCTTCTTAAAACCAGAGGGAACAGAGAAGACCTTATTTATAATATTCTAATCTGTGTGGAGACTACTTGGAGGACTGCTCTCTGTTTCACCTAAGAACTCAGATGAAGAAAATCAGCATAATTCCAATCTCAGGCTGAAAAAAGCCATGAAATGGACACTACTTGTGAAAGCTGCAGGGGACTAAAGACATACATATGCCCAGGGAAAGAGATTACGGGAAGAGTAGTACAACAGAACATCTATGGCCCTCATGAGAAACTGAGGTGAGAGTCTTGGAAGTTAAGATATTTTAAAGCAGTTCTGCAAATGGGAGAATTGAAAAATACACGCGCATAACGTAACGTAAGATGCATATTAAGAAAATAATTTAGAAGACTTTAAGCCTTCATCTTGGGCTGATCCAAGTCTTGAAAAACATACTGCTAATTGGCATGGGAGGGTCTTCCCAGGCACAGAGGCAGTCTGCAAAAGCTGAAAGTGGTGACCATTCTTTTCAAATATACAATTTTCAATAATACAAGACATAGAAACAGGAAACGTGCCCAATTCAAATGAAAATCAAGGGGGCTGGGGATATAGCTCAGATAGTAGAGTGCTTGCCTAGCATGCACAGGCCCTGGGTTCAATCCCCCAAACCACAGAACAAAGAAAACAAAAAACAGAAAAAAAATCAAGTGGCAGAAACCATCCCAGAGGAAGACATAGCCTTTCAATGTAGTACAAAGCAAAGACTTTAAAATCACTATCTTAAATATGCTCAATGAACTAAAAAAGAACAAAGACCTAAAGGGAATGAGTAATGATACAATGAACAAAACAAGATTATCAACGAAGAAAAATCATTTTTAAAAAGGAACCACACAGAAATTCTGGTACTAAAAAATTAATAACTGAATTAAAAAATTCAGCCTGCAATGGTGGCACATGACTATAATCTGAGAGACTTGGGTGGCAATTCCAATCTTTGGCCCTTAACCAAAAGACTTGAAAAGATATGTCCACACAGATGCTTGTACAAATGTTTACAAGTGCATTATTCATAATAGCCAAAAAAGTTGGAAATAAGCCAAATATCCATTTGATGAATGCCTAAGTGAGTCATGTCCATATCATGTAATTCTATTTATTCTATTTCTTTCCTTCAAGAATAAAGGAAAATACTAGCTCTCCAGCCATTTTGACAGCTGCTCTTAGTTGGGGGCCATCCTGCATCTAAGGCAGGAAGATGGTGGCCTCAAAAAAGATGAAAAAGTCTTTGGAATTGATCAACTCTAGGCTCTAGCTTGTTATGAAAAGTGGAAAGTATATACTGGGGTATAAGCAGACTCTGAAGATGATCAGACAGGGCAAAGCAAAATTGGTCATCCTTGCCATCAATTGCCCAGATTTGAGGAAATCTGAAATAGAGTTCTATGCTATGTTGGCCAAAACTGGTGTCCATCACTACAGTGGCAATAATATTGAATTGGGCACAGCATGCAGAAAATACTACAGAGTGAGCACATTGATCCAGTTGATTCTGATATAATTAGAAGCATTCCAGAACAGACTGGTGAAAAGTAAAACATGAAAAATTTTTCTTTAATAAAACTTGGCAGAACTTGTTTAAAAAAAAAGAATGAAGGAAAATAATTAAAACAAATAGAAATGAGCAGGGATGGACTTTTAAAACATTACATACTATGTGAAAGAAGCCAGTCATAAAAGACTAAAAATGTTGTCATTTAATTTATGCAAAATGTCTAGAATAAGCAAATTCATAGAGAGAAAATGTAGATTAGAGTTTGCCTACAGCTGGGTGGAGTGAATAAAATAGAGAGTCACTGCTAAAAGAAATGTGGTTTCCTGTTGGGGTGATAAAAATTCTATAATTGATAGCTATATGACTGCACAACTCCATGAATATACTCAAAATCATTTAGTTGTACATTTCAAGTGGGTGGATGGTATGATATATGAATTGTATCTTTCCTCACCATCCTGTGAAAGAACTGACTTACTATACACTGAAGAGAGAAATCAAAACTATATCCTATATTTATATTCCAGTAAACCCTACCTACAGAAAGTCATATTTCCATGGTTTCCTGGTTTTTGTATAATCACCTCTCAATTATTTGCCCTAAATTTCTTCACCTAATTAAGGCTCTTCATTTTGTCAACATGTAAGTTTTGGCAAGGTTCAAGGGATATAGGAGGCCAAGGTCTTCATTTATAGGATCTTAGAATCTTAGACTAGTTTGGTCACTATACAAATAGGGAAATAGAGTCCTACACTGAGGAAGACACCAGCCCCAGACCACAAAATATGTTAGAGCTGTGAGTGGTTTCTAGGACACCATGATGGCTATGTAAGTATCTGTCTACATGAAGTGCTAAGCAGCAGTAAGAGACTGACAAGGCTTTAGGTACTGTGAATACAGTTTGGGAAACAAATCATTGAGAAAGTATGCTCACATCTGGGTATTAGGGGATACGGTAGGAGAGAGGAATGCCCTATGTACTTTCTTAAAAGACACTGGTGCCCCCTCTGGCCTAATGTTTGAGGGCACATGATATGGTATTAACACCCAGGCTCATGACTCCCATGGAATCAAGGTGGAGGATGGTTTGCAATTTGGATATTCAGCTGCCCACTACTCTCCAACTAAGATCTGTCTTATTTTCTTTCCTGTCAGTCTCTTTCCTCCATTCAGTATGCTGGGCTGTATAATCAACTTAGGTGTCTAATTACACAGCTATAACTTAATTGGCCCTTGCTGTTGGTTGCTATGGTGATGCAGCCAGGAGCTCTGTTCACTAAGATTAAAAGGAAACATGAGGTGGGAGGGGACAACATGGGGACAGGGGTGAGGCTGAAATGAAAATACTTTAATAATTCCTCTTGGTGATTAAAATTCCATTTTAAACTCACATTACCTACTCTATCTCTATGAAATTAGAGTCTTAATCAGGATAAAAGGCTTTCAATGGAGACAACTCCAGGGTAAAGATAAGGCTTCACATACTTAGAATCCATGGTGGTCTCAGAGAAAGGCTTTGAAAAAGATACAAAAGAAGGATAGAAAACAGGATCCTTGTTTATAAGGGTCTTACTTTCAGTCAAGGTCAATCCAGACCTCAATAGCACCTTCCAATGTATTTTTGAGGCCCTTTTGCATATTTTTGATAACTTCATTTGTAGACTAATTTTAGATCTATGGAAAAAAAATCCCAGATAATAGGCCCCATATAGCCCACATCACTTTTTTTTATAAATATCTTCTATTAGTATACTTTTTATAATGAATGAGGAAATGTTGATATATTATTATCAATTAAAGCTCATATTTTGAGATTTTCTTTGTATTTGATGTATTTCATTTTTAATTGATAAAATGCTTTGACATGATGGAATGGCTAAATCAAGCTATTTAACATGAGTATTACATTATATATTATTTTTTCTATGGTGAGAATACTTTAAATCTACTCTCAGCAATTTTTATGTATATACTATATTATTAGTGATAGTCACCATGACATACAATAGACTTCTTGAAATTATTCCTGTCTTACTGAAATTTTATATCCTTTAACTAACTATGGAATCAATATAAGTGTTCACCGATGAATGAATGGATAAAGGAAATGTGGTATATATGCACAATGGAATACTATTTGACCTTAACAAAGAAGAAAATACTGTCATTTGTGATAACATGAAGTAACCTTTTTCTGTTCCATAATCTCATCTAGGATGCCCATTACATCATGTGCCTTTAAGCTCCTTCGGCTGTGAAAGTTTGCAGACTTTCCTTGTCTTTGATGATTTTAGCAGTTTTGAAGATTCCTAGCCAAATGTTTTGCAGACTGTCTCTCATTTGGTATTTTTCTGGTTTTCTCTTGAATATATGAGGACTATGAGATTGGAGATGGAGGACCACAGAGGACCACTCTACTCTCATATTGTATCAAGGATACTTAATATCAATGTGATTTATCACTCTTGATGATGACTTTAACAAACTGGCTAGCACAGTGCTTCTTAAATTTCTCCCTCCAAAGTAAATTTCTTCCCTCTTTCTATACTGTACTCTTTGGAAGGAAGTCACAATGTATGGCCCATATTTAAGGACTGGGGAGTTATGCTTTTCTACTTAAGAGGGCCAAGTATCCTTACAATTATTTAGAATTCTTCTGCATGGTAGATTTCTCTCTTCTAATCAATTTATTTTTTCATTCAACAATTCATTTATACCATTATAAATTCATGGGAAATAACCTTTATATTCTTACTCAAATCATTGGAGCTTTGTCAATTTTGAGCCCTTTAAGTTGGCTGCTGTGTCCCTTTAACATATCTCATCATTGTAGGATTTTGTTTGGTTTGGGTTAGGTTAGGCTCTTTTTTTCCAGTACTTCCTTACTTTCTCATATAACAGCATGATCTACATTCATCTGATATATTTCCTAACTCAGTAGTTGAATTTGCCATTTCTTCAAGGAGCTATTGTTCCTTTAAGTGAAGTATAGTTTTAGAAACTAAGATCTAATGGCTAGGTGTGCTGATTACAACTGGGATAGCATTGCTTCTAGGTGCTCTCAGTTGCCAAAGCATGGAAGTACATACTTGTATACCAATTCCCCTATATGCAAAAATCTATAAATATTACTATATATAACCATATGTATATAAATAAGCACATAAATGGTAGTTTGCTCACAGAGAAAGCTAAATAAAGTGTTAGTTATCATCATCATTATTTTGCGGACCTATGATTTAGTAGTTTATACACCTTTGCTTCTCTCTCTCTCTCTCTCTCTCTCTCTCTCTCTCTCTCTCTCTTTCTTATTAGAGACAGGGTCTCACTGAGTTGCTTAGTGCCTCACTTTTGCTGAGGCTGGCTTTGAACTTGCGATCCTCCTGTCTCAGCCTCTTGAGCCTTTGGAATTACAGGCGTGTGCCACTGAACTCAGGACTTTTGCTTATATCTAATGTAAGTTGACACAAAAAATAAAAACAAAATCCCATGCAAATGAGGGTCTATGAATATTCCAAGAAAAAACAAATTGTGAATCTATCAGTTCTACAAGTGCCACCTAATACAATAGTAAGCTCTGAAGTTTCCCAGAGAGAATAAAGATGCCTAAGAGAAGGACAACTATATGTATTGCTTGTTGATAATCATCATCATGAATAATCAGATTAAAGTAGCTTCTTTACTTCCTGAGTACTTCATGTTTATCAAAAAAACCTTCTATAATAGGTTTCAGTGGAGACCCACCCATGAACAATCAGATGAATGGAAATAAAACATCTATTTTTCCAACTACCATCTATCCAGGCACTAGATACCACAGGAAACAAAATGTTGGAATCTGTCTAAAATACAATTATTAAAATTTCATAGGAAACCATTCAGTATTCATCAGTGCCTATATACTAAATTAAATATTTGCTAGTTTTTAACATTAAGTTTTTTCTCAGTTTTCAAGGAAAATATTGAGATTCAGAACTTTTTAGTTTTTAAAAGTAATCCTAAATTCTCAAAAGGATATTATTACTGGGCCAATAGAAATGAATAGCTTTGTAATTCTTCATTTGTGAATAAATTACTTTTATCAGTATTTTGCCAGTTTGGTCTGCCACTAGCCTCAGGTGAATGTACCATTTGTATTATATCTTCTCTTTTTTTAGTTAGGAGACCATAGCATCTCATTGTTTTTTAATTGTCCACTGGACCACTGTACATGAGAATATACTGAATGCTCTAATTTCTGTATCTGAAAATAAGTAAATCTTCTGACGAAGCCATTTCTCTAAGTAATAGATATATCTAATAAAACAAAGACAGGGTCTAAAGGCAAGGATTAGGTAAAAATTCCATCAAAATGATAACAAAAGTCTAAATATCATCAAATACTTAAAAGATAGAAATTAGAAATCCCCACAGTAACAATACTTATTAGCCTAGGAAATAATCGTCTGATACAAGGTCCTATTAATGTAATCAGTGACATATAATTAAATGAGCTTATCCCCATAAAAAAATTGTAAGAGAGGAAAGAGAGATGTTAACTATTGATGAAACAATAAAGCACAAATAAACTTGACTTTAAGAGTACACTATTGGGCTGGGAATTTAGCTCAGTGGTAGAGAGCTTACCTAGCATGAGTGAGGCACTAGGTTCGATCCTCAGCACTGCATAAAAAATAAAGAAATAAAATAGAGGCATTCTTGTCCATCTACAACTAAACAAATTTTTTAAAAGAGTACACTATTACTTTTCAGGCATTGAGAGAAAAAACAGATGTCAAAGCATAAAAGTAAATGAAGACTTAGTTACTACCCCAGCACAAATAAAATCAGATGCTAACCAAATGCTTAAGTGTACTTTGTGAAGATGATAGGATAGCATATGTTTTTAAAACTACCCTAGGGGCTAGGGGTCTGTTCCAGGGATAAAGTGCTTGTCCAGCATGTATGAGGCCCTGGGTTCCATCCCAGTACCACCAAACAAACAAAACCTGCACTTTGAAAAAACATGTCAAATATAATAAATTAACTTCAAAAACAATCCAAGGACCTAGTAAGATTAAATGGCAATAATCACTAGGACTTTTCATAAATATTCTGGTCCTCTTTCTCATTCTGGGCACATAGTGGGATTGTATACTAGAATTCTACCCCGATCCCTTGAAATTATGTGTGGTCATGCAACTTGCTTTGGCCAAAGCAATCTGAGCAGTAATAGCCTCTATCAGATACTGGCAGAAGTTCTTAGAGTAAGTGTGTACCTCATCACATCCTCTTTGTCTTTCTTCCCTTACAACAGTTAAGGCTCCAGAATAAGGTTTCCCCATCAGTCTGGATTCTGAAGTGAAGAAGACACAGAGCAGACCCTCCACACAAACCTCAATGGACATTAAGGACATAATGATAAATATAATCAATTTTATCTTTAACCTCCTAGAATTTGGGGATTGGTTTTTACTATAGCAAAACAGTCTACACATAGAAAACACCAGAAAGAGCAGGTGTT